TCAATTCCAAATTTCCCCCAACTTCTAAAATAAGAAACTATGAAGTTTATAGATCATTAAGGAATCTTGCTTTAAGAATTTTTAAAATCATTAATGTTAAAAATGGTAACAAGTCACTGACTGAGTAGATTCAGGAAGCAGGAAGTTAGTTCAAAGGACTCTTGCTCCTTTATCATCTCCCAAGACAACAAATCATTAGTCATCTTTTTAAAAAAGCACATTAAATTATATTTAAATTATAACTTCTCATTTCTTATAATTAAATGTTATTTTAGATTACACTAAATTGCAAAGTGTGATAGTCATCTGAGACAGGCTGTAGCAAATAATATTCTACCACAAGAGCAAGAAAATTTTCCTAACTTGCTGTGGTGCTGTAGGGAGATCTAGGAAAGACAACACGATGTCTAAAGGTAGGAATAGCGTCTATGTGTACCTCTCATCTTGTCCTCAATATAGCCAGTCAAGGTTACATATGGGAAGCAAGACCAGAAATGAGAGTTCCTATAAATTGAGGGAGGAAAGCAGCCACCCATGAATCCAGGGGGGAAGAGAACATGGGGATGATCGTTTACTCAACAGACATTTGTTAAGTATCTACTACGTGCCAAGCACTGGGAATGCAACCTCGAATAAAAATGGAAATAGTCCACGCCTTCATGGAGCTTATATCTACTATGGGGGTTGAGGGGGGCAGACATGAACAAAACTTTCCTCACATAAAACTGCAACTGTGACGAATGCAGCAGAAGACCCAGATTGTGATGAGAGAACGGAGGATTTGACTTGAGTCTGGGCAGGCAGAGAAGGCTTCCTGGGAAAGTGACACCTTAGCTGAGAGCTAAAGGGGGTGCAGGAGTTACCTATGTAAGACAGGGCTCCTCAAAGTGCTTGCAGTGAGGGACCAGCTTCTGTCTCCCCCTATCTAATCCATTGCAAACTGACTCTTTCATAAAATGCAATCAAAATGCCATGGCAATATCGAAATGTTATAAAGATTTCTAATCATTTACTTGCCATTTTTATACTTGGACCAGTTACCAACAGTTGACGGTCCAGCCAGTTCTTGGAACATGCTTTGAGTGGCACTGATTCAGGACAAGAGTACAAGAAAAACACATAGAAAGGCCTGAGTATCAGCAGAACAGGTGCTAAGAATGTGGAGGATTATCGCTGTCATAACACAGACTACTAAGGGAGCCACCTCTTTTGTATCACTACTTGACAATTAAAAGAAGCAGTTCAGGGATTTTAACTCCATCATAAATGGAGATATAGCCTGTGTTGGGAATTAAGGTACACAACCCCATTTTATATTAGCTATCTTTTTAAGCTTCTGAGTTCAATAACTACTGAATGACCAATTTTTGAAGCCAAATGCCATCTAAATTTACAGTTGTAAATGCAACAGCATAAAATCACCAGAACTTTTTCATGCTTTTGACTTTTATTTTTTACTACTTGAAAAGTAAAGGGTGAAAAATGTGTAGTTAACTAAATGCATCTATAATCACTCAATAGGCACATTGAGCACCTCTCTGTAAAACTAGAGACTAAATACATTGTTTTTAAAAATAGGACTCAGCATTGTGGTATGTATTGGCCACAGTTA